AATAACTAGTCAAAGAGTGTGTTAACAAGACTTAAACAAATAATCATTAGCATAAATTTAAAAAGTAGCCTATATCTCTAGAAGTTAAAAAATTAATATGAAAAAATTTATAATTTTTTAATTTAACACCCATATCAGGAAAAATACGTCATTTGAACCGTCTACAAGTTTTTGATGATGTCCCATTAGAATCAACAACGCATTTTGAAGTGGCAACAGGAAAGTAATGCATTAGCGATTGGCATTTTACTTCCTAATTGCCCTCCTTCACAGAGTTAGTTATCAGATCAGTCAAATGATACAAAGTCTGAGTCATTCGGAACAATGAACCCTTTATTAGCTAGTTGACTAGAGATTGAGTACCTTTGAAGTACACTAGAAATCGTAAATTGATATTATCGTGTTTCAGTTACAAAGAACACATAGTATGATAGAACTAGCGCAGTAGGTTTTAATAAATTTTATACTTTAATTTGCTTATACAAATTGACTTTGTATCAAGGTGTATGTTTTACTTCAAAGGTGTTATAAGTTTATGGGTAACTGCTTGTAGGATTATTAAATAATTAATTACAGACCATCATCTATATATTTATTACGTAAGCCGATTCTTTGCGTCAAAATTGTGGGCGACTGGGAAGTCGTAGAACGACGGGAGAGGGCTCTAATTAAAGGTCTCGATCCCGTGACGGCGGGAAAAATAGTGAAATTCCCTAAATATTAACACACAATTAGATATAACCTTTGACTATTAATAGTCAATGATATAACGTAAAATGCTCTCCATAAGAATAGCATTCAAAGCCATTTACTGCTGATTTTTGTTAACTTAAATACAGCTGATCGTGGTTTTTTATCAAGCCAGAAATAGTATATTTCGTACCTAGGGCCGAAAATGAGGTTTTGCCGGCTCGAGATAGTTTTTAAGTTCGAGACGAAGTCGAGAACTTAAATCGATCGAGAGCTGCAAAACCATTTCGGTCCGTGGTACGAACCGCTATTTTTCACCACACTATACCCTATTACCACTATTCACCACTATAATAATGCGCACTGATAGTCAACACAACTACAATTAATTTTAAGGTTATGTGAAGAAATAATTTGAGGAATCAGCAAAATTAAAAATAAATAGTTGCTAGGCAACGGTGACAATAACACAATTCTATTGCAATGCTATGGATTTTGATTGTGTATTTAAAATACATTCATGTTTTAAGTAAGTAAGTGCACAGCTGATTTTGCGTTCCCGGCCTGTAAAAACCTGCTCGGTCCCCAAATTACGATGACAGCTAGCTGGCATGGCCAGCAAAACGTAACTTTCAGCCACCAATTAACGTATGTAATACAGCCAAAAACATCATAGTGTGGTGAAAACAATATTACATTTGGATTACATATTTGCCAGTCAATTGTGCAATGTGCTGTATACTATATAAAACTATGGTGGAAGGAAAAAAACATAGGTGTGCTATTCCCGTCATATGCTGACGTCACCTCATCCAGATTGCAAACACCATAAAAAAAATATAAAAACAATAACAATCAAATCAAAACAAATATATACTCAAATGGCAATACAATCACGTGATTTTTTTTGTTTGCAATCTGGGTGACATCAGCATATGACGGGAATAGCACACCTATGTTTTTTCCTTCCACCATGATATAAAACCAGGGATAAGGTTACCTATTATAATTAAGACTTTTTAGTTAAGATTAGAATGTTGAAATAAATGATTTCACCCTGCAATTTGCAAACTTGTGTATGTTTAAGTAAATTAGTTAATCGTATGATAAGTAATAGCATAGATAAAACATTCTAAGGAGTATGTTTTATCTATGGTAGTAGAATCATATGAGATGGCTCAAATCAAAGGAATTGAACTTAGAATGGCTGACAAAATTTGTTTTTCCTTCTAATTTAAAGGTTATTGTTTTGTTGAAGGAATGTTTGAAATAACCACATTGACTAAATAATACACGATTCAAGATTTAATGGAACACTTCTGCTTTGTTTTGATTTCAAAACATATGTTAAAGATCCTATATACTAAGAGACTTTTGCAAAATTTACGACAGCTAGCTTACTATTGGACCGGATTACACGCGGTTGAGACCAAATGAAAGATATTTTCCTGCAGATGTGCAGAATCCCTTAAAATAGGCTAAAAAATAAAAAAAAAATGGATTTTAAAATTAAAAAAATAACATGGGTTCTTATGGGTTGTCATGTTGGGGACGAAATAATAACAAATAAACAGATAATCAAAACAAATGGAAGAAATTCCATTCACATGTTTTATTTACAGCGTGGGGTGAAAACAGAGAAGTTTGCACAATACATACTTTTGGTCGAGTATTCGACCACGGGGCGAACTCTCGTTTATTCTAAACCTTTTTTTTAAATATTTACTAACATTTTTAATTTAAGATTTATTATAGTGTTTAACAAATATTTTGTATGAAGTGGAATCACCGCAACGGCCACTCTTAGAAATCAACCTGAGAAAAAGATGAAATAAGTTCGTACAGGCAATATATTTGTTAAGTAAGTAGGCCTACTGTGACAAGTTCCAATGGGCGAAAAAAGCAATATTGTTTGGAGGAGATTTTAGTCAGGTACTGCCTTCTGCTTCAAGCAAAAAGATTCAAATAAGCCTAGCATGTACGGTAATAAAGAGAGCATCCACATTTAACAGTAAAACCTAGAGGTATTTTCCGTTTCTTAAAACAAACCAAAAATATACATTTCGAAGATGATGTAAAAAGTATTTTCGTGATTGGTTTCGATAACTGGGTAACGGAACTCTAACCAGTCGCAAATTTTATTAGGCTTTTTTATATGAGTAATTTGAATTATTTATTTAAAATAACACCAACAAAAGCAAACAAAGACAAACAACCAACTTTTTTTACACACAAGATATGTTGTACTGGGATATCTATCCTGACACATAGACAATTTGATTCTAAGTTTGTTTAAATATTACGATAATTTGTTTTACATTTGAGCTTTTCAGGGAATTATGTCCCTACAAGCCACTAGTATAATTGGTATTTATACATTTTTAAATTTTATAGCAGTTACCTAAGGCAGAGGAAAATAATAATGCATATCATTACACTTTAGTTGGAAGTCAAAACTATAAATTCGCATCTTTACTGTAAATTATTTTTTTTTCAGCACCAAAATGATGGAATATTAGCAATTTTACAATGTGTAAATAGATGTATACTATTCTCAATTAAAATAATTCAAGAAGGAATGTTATAAATTTTTATAAGGAAATTCAAAACTTAGGAAAACATGTTATTCAATAATGACATGAGCTTGAGTAAATATATAGGACCAATTTTATTTTCATACTAAACCATCAAAACCGTTTCAGGGAAAATATATCTTTAAAACAATAGCATATTATATGAAAAAGGAGTTTTTAGTTAACTTATCCAAACTCGCTGTAACTGTCATTTTTCAAACGATTCCTCTTAGGAATTTATCAATATACTGTATATGATTCAAATCAAATTGATTCATAATTTCAGTAAATATGTCATGACCACTAAAAATAATAATACTAATAAAAATAAATTAAAGAATGGTGTCAATACAGTGACTTGAAAAATGTAATGTCATACGGTTTTATTTATTGGCGAAAACTTTATGGTAATCCACGAAGAAAAACTCATTCATTTATGTAAAGTACTTATTTGTGACAGTACAAAATGAGCCTACCAAAACTACCGGGGACAAATCGTACCCATAGATTTTAAAGGTTAAAACTAATATTCAATTACGTGCAATTGTAATATTGATACACTGAAAATACATGATTGAAAATACATTGATTGAAAATACTGATTGTGTAATCAACAATACAAATACAAATATTTAATTCAAAACGAATATATTTTTTATAAGATCATTTTTTAAATAACTCGATAAACACAAAATATTAGCTTCTTTATGTTTCAAACTAACTTCAATCAACATTTTTCATCCTAATGGTCAGTTAGAGATAGGTGTATTTTAATGCACGGTTGTATCCAGTAACTAAGAACAATTAAGTTAACATTTCACAATTTATGTTCTATTATTTTAGAACCTTAGACAAACTTAGCTTTGACCATAGATAAAACATACTCCCTTAGTAGATTTCTCATCCTTATGGAACAGCTGGAGCCAATTTTATTGTTAGTTCTGTGTAGACGTCGGGTTTTGTTTACAATTTGTCTCTTGATATTTCAGTAATTTAAAACCTTGTTTATTTAAATAAAACGATCCAATCATAAATAATAACTCGTTCCATAGTTATATAACTAAACAGTAGAGCACTCATCATGAAATTAACCCTAAAATTATACAAACCAAATTTCGTCGACACTAGCGATCAGTGTCACCGGACATGAACTAGACACAAAAAACCAGCTTCAAAATTTACAGTGGGGTGAGAAGTCTAGTTGTAATGGTTAGTCTATGGTTTGACCTCTTGTACTATAACCAAAGATTAAAGCTCAAACAGTAAAGTCCAATTTCAGATTTTATATTACGTTAAAAAATGATCTTGCAGTATATCATATTCAAATGGTAAACCCACAAATACCAACAACGCACCGATTAACATGCATCAAAATCAAACTAATTTAATAACCATTATACAGTGCATACAACCTTTCCTATTCTACATTACGACGAGAATTCATAATGCAGAACAAAGAAATCAATTGATTATCCCATCAACACAATCGAAAGCAACAATAAAAAATATCTAGGAACCCTTAAGATTTTGCAGTACAGTGACCTTTCATCTTTTAGTATACAGATTCAATAAATGCACCAATAAGCAACAATCAAAATAGTGAACTCACCGACAGTGCACAAATCAACGGTGTCTACCAGAGTTGGGTATTGGGCGGTGGGGCGGTGGTGGGGCGGCAGTGAAAGTATTTGACTCTGTGCCCTTGGAGGCGGCGCTACCCCCTGCAACCTCCATATAAGCTCCGGGTCACCCTTCGTAGGTACACTCCGTCCCCGCGTCAACAGACCTACGGCACACAGGTGAGTGGTGCTAGTGCAGTGGCAGTGCGGTGCTGTGGATATTACCTGTGTATGTAATAGGCTAAGTTGTGAACGAAAATATTTTTAGTTAAGACATGTTTTCATATTCACATCGGACGTACAATGGGTATACGGTGTTTTGTATAAGAATTTTCATACGGAAGTGCGGGTGATTTTTTTAAAACTAAAGTTGTGAACCAAGTTTACTAGAACTTTTTTTAGTCTTTAAGTCATTTAACGGACGTGTAAACCCAAACAAATATTTAAAATCGTACACAATTATGCGGGTTTGTTTGTGTATGTATTTTGGATCTAAATGATATTTTATGAAAAAACACATTTCCAAACAAAAAAAATATTTAAGTAATTTTGGGTTTAAAATGCTGTTAACCGATGAAAGGGCGAAACCCCTTTAGCAGGCCTATATTTTTAAATATTTGGGTAATATAATTTAATATATGTCGATAAAGACTGTAGTTGCACTACAAAATAATACAAATTATAAATAAAATAAAATAGGCTAATATGAATAAAATAAAACTTTAAAACATTATGATATTGATTGAACTTCCTCCTGTTTTAACGAATTTAAACCAATGCGTAGTTCTCATATAAACGGATTTCATGAAATCGTAACTGTCTTAACGCTTGTAAAAATTATGGATAAACAATTTATAACTAAAATAAAAGAAGCTATTGTAGGGGTTTAACTCAAGTAAATAAAAACACTCTACAAATAAACTCTCACAAAGTAAAAATTTAAGTAATATGAATATTTGATAGTTAATTCGTACATCCTTGATATTTTCTTTATACACAGCAGTATACACACTTTCTGGAGAGATTTTGTGTGTTTGTTTCTTAGGTCTAAAACAAAAAATTGCATCGTATAAACATGCGTAAAAAATGTCCATTTTTCTGTCTGCACGTAATCTTTATAAATTCGTCCATCATTTTGGAATCCCTTAAGCGATTTAATGCAAACCTAGATAAACACATTTTAACGTTAAGAGATTCAATACAGCTGTCATTTTTATAACACGTAACATTAGATAAATATACTGTATCGGCAAACTGACATATACTTGCTCCCATGAGCTTGACATTAAAATGGAACATCCAAATACTTTTATGAACATAAAACTTACTTATTAATTTATGGGTTCGTACATGGAAAGTCACATGAATTGCAATAAATTATGAACCACAGATTTTACAGCATTGGGGTTGTGCCATTTTTCACGATTTATAGGCGTGTAAAATAATAAATTTAAATCAAAATCGTCAAAGAAAATCTTTGTAAAAATCTAATTTTTCATATACTATGGGGGTTTTATAAAAAACTAACGTTAAAAATAAAAATTTCGACAAAATAAAAGTCCTAAATATATATAACATTGTTTCTTACCAACATACAACATTTTTAACCAAAATCGGACTACAGGCATCGTCAGTAGCTTTGTACACATCCTTCCCTACGCACACACAGACATCACTTCGAAAACCCATTTTCCATGTTCAAGGGACATATTTGCACTTTATATGCATATAAATCATGTAGTTTCAGTGGTTTTCGAGCACACAAAAAGTTGCTATTCAGCCTAAGCTCCTATTGAAAAAATCTTAACATGCTAACACATTTCCTACATAGTGCCTAAACGCACATTTTATTTCCAACAATCGCAGGTAAAATATCAGTTTGAATAGAAAAAATTCATGTGTAATAAAAAAAATCATCGGATAAAAGTAAAAAAATGTATTAAAAGGTGGCTGATTGAAACTCGTGGACGGAACTGTAGGAAGCGTCACTAACTCATAGTCCTGGCCTGGGGTCTTGGTATTACAAGCTAGCTACACGATCCATGCAGCACGACCAGGGAAAGTGATCTTCATATCACCAGACTCTTTCTCTCTTTATGCAGAGTTTTAAACCGACAGATTAAAGATCTGATAAATCATCAGATTGCATGTAAGATTTAGATTTCAGAGACTTCAATGGGTACATTTAAAATTGTAATTTAATGTAAAAATTAAATTAAATTCTTGCTCTATAAACAGGGTAAGCTTAATTTACTTGAATTAATGCAGCGTAGTTTAAAGGATATTGGAAAAAAATATTGATATTGTTTCAATTAATGTCTGTACATTTTTAGTTTAGGCAACCAACATTTTAATAATGACCTTTAATAACCAACATTTTACTTCTGTTAAAGCTATTGATTGTTAGTTGTTCTACAAAAATAAAGTATCAACAATAATCAAGTATCAGACAAACTATGAAGATTCCGTTTCAGGCCTCAAAATTAATCTTAAATATGTTCCCTCTAAACTTCGGATTCCGAATTCAATATATGTAGAAGCTACCGCATCTGAAAAAATGTTCCAAACTTTATTTTCACATTGAGGCTTTATTAATTGAGTTCTACACTTGGTAATATGTAGGTAAACAAAGCTGTACAAATGAAGCAATAATCCTTATGGGAACGTGACGACAGTTTGTATAGTAGTTGCAATGATCCCATGCGGCAGTGCTACCAACACGCAAACACTGTTGTTGCTACAGTGTGGGAATTATTGTAAACGTAAACAATTGTTAATAGGTTGGTGCACTTGAACGTGTCCAAATTATCTTGCTGTTTGGACAACATACTGAACCGTACATTCAGTTAGTTGGTTGAATCTATGCCATCCATCATTTGTTTAAAGATAGACATTTGGATATTATATTAATAGAAATTCATTAAACATATCCTGAAAAATAGTAAAAGCTACGTTGAGGACCTGACAAGTTCATCGATTTGAGCGTGTATATTTCATATATTCAATTTTGCTGCATCAAAGGAAACAGTTGAAGTAATGTAGAGTACGGCAAATATGACTTAGGAAAAAATGTAAGCTTAAAGACGAAGTCTCAAGCCATTCTCAAGTTTCGGAATTAAAAGCTGAAATTATTACCCTAAATAAAAATACGTTTTTCTTGTGTACAGCGGTAAAAAAAAAAAATTATTGGCTATTAAAAATTTAATAATGTCCAACATCTTGACGTAGGTGTAAATCAAAAATTGTGAAAATAAAGAACACGGTAACAGCTATATACTGTGTTTGTATTTTATTTATACAAAATCAATTTAATTTTCTTTGTAACGAGGCTTTTTCGTGATGACAATTTCAGTCACCGACTGACAGATTAACGGGTGGCGTCGTCCTGTAATCCAGCTACTGGGAGGTCACGAATTGTGGATATTTATAGGGATGCACTGTGGATGCGATGCTCCCTGGTGTGGATTAACGTCCGCACTAGTGAGTACTACGACTTTCCGCAGTATTATCCTGATAATTAGACCAATTCGTAAATTACAAGGAAAAATGTGGTTCGGATTCCACTATAAACTGTAGGTCCCTTAGTTGCCATTAGCTGTATGGGCTATTAATTAACAGCTGTGTCTAAGGAACATGTCGGCCTTAGTCACTAACAAGACTACAAGATCGCGCCACTCATCCTACACTCATCCTTCACTCATATTTGGGTTAAAATACGCACATAGTGGCGTCCCCATCTTAAATAATTGAATTGAATTGAATTGAATTGAATTAAATTGTCCCAGCTGACTTAATAGATTCATAGGCCTAATGCCGGGTGTTGTTTATCTAAGCCATTGGAATTTTGTATATCTTGTAAGAGAACGGTACAAACCTTGACGTAACTACCTTGTAAACCTTTTTTTCGATAGCATAATTGATTGATAGGCCAATGACAAATAGCATATGAGTTTACGATCAATTTAACTTGGAATTGAACTAGCGACCTTCAAATTTGAAGGGAGCACAAAACCACTCGACTACCAAGAAAATTATCATTTTTCTTAGACTTTGTAGTAGTCCCTGGGAAAACGGATGAACTTTTAACATCGGGTTCAGGTAATCTGCCAGTAAGTAACAGTACATAATTTGTCATATCGTGTATTATTCTACTATTAAGGGTGGGGTGCGGGGCGATAGTGGCTGTAGGACATCATAGACTTGGCTAATATTAGGAGATGATCGTGAGTTTGGTCGCATGATATCCTCCAAGAAGAAACGTATAGCGGAAAACTAACCTATACTAACCGGAGAGAAACTTCTGCCAATTTTTCCGTTTCCAATTTGGGCAAACTCATGACGTCATGACACCACGTAAATATAAACATATATTACGACTTATTCAAGAATGTATCAGTATTGGAGTAACGTGATGAGATGCCACAGAGTAGGCCATACAGTGGAGTAATCTCCTCGCCAGATCATATTGTACCATCTCCGGTTATGTTGACCTTGTGACCTCATCCTAATCTCTCATAATCTCCACCACGCCCCCTGACACCTTGGCCTGCCCACGTACCTGAACAGAAGCTATCATCTTCTTCTCACACTAACAGCCAGACTGTAGGCCGTTCTCAACCATTTGCCTTTAACAGCAATAATAACAACTACTCGTATTTCATGACTGACAGGGTGTGTTTGAGTAGAAAAACGTTTGGTACTTAAACGTGTTGTGTACAAGGCCTGTAACAAAAGAGATACAAATCGTGGGCAACGAAGGATAGAATGAATAGGGTTTTAACTGGCGGAACAAATATAGAAGACCCAACAAGCTTTTTAAATAGTTTGAAGACCCACTTTGATTATAAAACTGGTATAGTTTCAATAAGATGTTACTGAGGGTGGAGACTGGGCTGGGGAGAGAGGAGGAGGAGGTAGGAGATTGGCACGACTGTTGAATGTTACCTCACTGGGTCAGCTGGGTTCATCTCACGGAAGCCAAAGTGGCTGTTCACTATTTATGAGACCAATATTTCGTATATTACGACAGGTGTTTTGCATAACAGGTTTTTCTATTGAGATACAAACAATACAGTCAATGGTGAGTGGGTGGTTCAATGTGCATCGCGACAAACTAGTAACTCATGGTAGCAATGTTCTGGGTTCTTGTTTCGGAGCCATTATTAGCCTAATATTTACGCATTCTTGTACTGCACCGGGGATACCCAACTCCGCGCGGTGGTCAAATTTAAGACGAGGAAAAGTTTATTGGCCCCCGAAGGTGTGAATGAGTGAAACATATCCTAAATTTAAAACTTATTTGAATTATTTTGGGGTCGTGAGGTGGAACGTAGAATAGGGAATTAAACGTAAGTTTAAATAAAACCATATAATAAACACTATACTAGAGTTCGATTTTAATTCCATGGCAAAACAATTTACTAACTGGTATCAGTAATTTATTATCTAAAAGACCACATCTATGAATGAAAGCAACCGTTCGAGGTTCCACTTGTTTGTAGTTACCTGTTTAAAAACAGCTAAATTGGATACGGAAAAGCTAAATGAATAAATGGCCGAATAAATATAAATGAGCACATAACCCTGTTGAGTAGGCAACTTACATACCAAAAGGATATTTTATACAAAATTGAATATAAGTAAACATACAAGATACAAAAATCCAATACTGTGTCAGGAAGTAGCATAATGAGAGCAACATACGTAATCGTCTGTGAGTTGTACACTCGATGTAGGTTAGTTGTGCTACAGTCAAGTCAATGTAACTCGTTGTGAAGTAATAGTAGAGAAGAGAAGCGAATGAACGACCTAGACCTTGTCTCTCTCTTTCACTCTCTCCATCTCTCCCCCTCTCACATACATGCACACGAACACTCGTTCCTACATACAACTTGAACCTTTTTAATAAACAGTTATAATCAGACATAAAGTATTTCGTATCAGTTAATAAAACAATAAAACGTATTATTTAACATTAGTAACATAATACCTGTTCGGACTTTATTGTGTACATAGTTTTTGGGAGTTTTAACTTTGAATTAATAATAGACATAAGATTTTTATTATAAAATACATTTAGATTCGCGTTGGTCAGGAGTGAAACTGAACACCTTATCTACCATGCTATAATTATCAGACAAATTTAAAGGTTCTTTTAAGGCGTTGAGTTAATAAGTCCCATTAGTGTAACGTGTATTTTTTTTAGTTAAGTTCAAGTAGTGCATAGTAAAACGGAAATATGTATATTATTGTTTATACAACTTTAACTTTTATATCACTGGTGTTAAGAAGTTTGGGAGTTCCAAAGGGAATTTACTTTGCACGTAGGTAAATTACCTACGTACAAATCTATAGTTAGTTCTATTGTAAAACATGAATGTTAAATTCTATTTTAAAACTCTGATGTCAACTAAAACGGGGTTCTCTTTAATAACAGTTAATCTTACTTTACCATCAATTTTGTAATAGAAAACCAGAAGACAATCTGTAGTTTATAAATGGATTTGTTTAGGGAAATATTTTTGAAGTCATAAAACAACGAGATATAATAAATCATAAACATGCACACACCAGTAGTACCGAACAGAAACATACTTTAAAATTATCTTTTATAGTTAATCCATAAGAATCACGCAGTCTTCCAGAGTAATATTTGAAAATTTTAAAACAATTCTCCTTAAAATTTAAAAAGTAAAAAGAAAACCAATGACTACCTCGACAAACACGGGGGGATTCCTCCTTTATAAGAGTAAATTTAATTAGATTTATTTTCATAAGCTGTTTCAAACAGATACCATTTCTATGACATACCGGTACTTAAAGAATCAAAAATAGCATTCCATCTATGATTGTCTTAAGTTGTAATTAAGTGTGTTGTAAATTTACAACTAGGTACACGATATTTTGATTTAATTTTTTGATTGACCTATATGATTATTAAGTAAGCCTACGTTTGTGCACCACAATCTTCACGATTGAACACGTTACTTAGTAAATGCAATTTAAGTTTATTCTGCATTTACAAGCTATTTAGTAATTAAGTGGCAACATAACAATACAAGTCAATAATTATATTTTAAAACACTGTTGTTTATTGTTTCAGGTCCGACAATATGGCGCGGCTATATTTAACACTGTGTAAGTAGTGTGTTTAAAGCATTAGACCAAGTATACTTCGCAATAATATGTTAACCGTCTAATTGGAATTCTAATGACATTCCTCATGTAACCACATATGTAATCATGACTGACTAAATCTTATTTGTACATATCACGTAAATGCCCTTCAGCAGTTTAATTTTGGTGATGAAACTTAATCGGCATTAAATAATTTTGGTTTCTATCTAATTATTTCAATCACAAGCGGTATGCAACGTTCTTAATGAACTATTTACTGTATTTTGAAGACCTTTTTTTTACGATAAGAATATTTTGCAATTTGTATAATCATATTTTGCAATATTTAGACTCGATCTCGTAAATGACCGTTTACAACCCAACATACAGTGTGCTCACCATATGAGTACGACAACCAGTTAAAGCATTAGAGGCACCGTGGCCGCTCTGAACATGGCATCATTGTATACTTAAACTATAAGTAATTCCTTAAAAAAGAGTGAATATTTCATCCTTTGTACTACAAATCCTTTGTAAATTAGAAATAAAAGATAAACTAAACTGTAGAGCTTAGGCCTACAGAATGTTTTAACAGTAAAAATGGTGTGCAATATGTAATGGTTAATGCACATTTTTGTCTTTTAAACCAACTTGAGTGATGTAAATAATATTCAAACCACGGCTGTTATAAAACGAGTTGATACATTTATTTAAATGTGTATTTCAATTCAATTCATTTGTGGACAATGTGATCTGTTGTGCAGAATAGTCATAATCATTTAAATTTAAAAATTATAATAAAAGATATCCTAAGAAATCAGCTTTTTAATCGCACAGTTAACACTACGCTCTAAAAACAGCACAGGTCAAAAAGTCGTTGTTTTTGACAAACTTAACAAACAACTTCATGAATTTAAATTCAACACGAGGATCTATTACATTTCAAACACTGGATATCGATCAAATTTAAATATCAGTGCAAAGTAAACATGTTTCACAATTTATTCTGCGATATGAGCAGAAAATTGAAAAATGGAATATTTTACTGTTGTGAGAGTGAACCCACATCAAAAATATACCTCTACAACTGACTCACTTATATATTTTATTTAAATTTTGAAAGAAACATTAATTTATTATTGTAATATCATCAACAACCACAAAGGAAGGGTTGAGACTTTAAAGAATATAAAATGTAAGATATTTATGTGAGATTAAAAATAATATTTAATTTTTTGTATACAGGGTTTGCGGCTGCGTTAAGCTTACAATCAGCCAAGGTACGTAATTATTTTTAGCTTGACTTTACCGAAGAACAGTAAACATTATTCAAATATATTATTACCACTGATTATTAAAGAAGGAAGTGATTTTATAAATTTGTCTTTAAAAAGCTATATACTATATTAAAATGAACTCTTTCAGAAACAAGATTTTCAAACCTTAGGGAGAGAAAATAGCAGTTTAACTTCATTTATACAGTGTGCATAAGCCAAACATGAATGTAAAACAAAAACTTGACTAACACATAGTATGACAGAAGAATGTAAGGTTGTTCAAGATTTGAACATTTCCAAAGTGACCATGACAATATTATTGTTTAACACTCTTTTGTAACGTTAATGATAAAGATTATTTAAAGCTTAAGAATTTTTACTTGTTTTTTGGTTTTTTGTCAAAGATTCACATAAATTTCTTAAGATAAAATTGATATTATTACTTCCAGAGGTTTAACAAAATCATATTGAGTTAGAAATTCACGATATATTAGATGCCTATGACTTCTATAGGCTAGTTATAAAAAACCCTATATACTATATAACTACATACACCGTAGATTTGTTAGGGATGAAACTGAAAACTGTAGTTAAACCAACACACATAACTTATTGCTTATTATAAAATTATTTCTACAGGCTGAAGAAGGATACAACTACGACAGACCCCAGAACCCACTACTTTCAGGACCTGGAGGAGCAACAGGCAGTACTTTCCGACCTGGAGCATCTCCCACCGGACGTCCTCCCCAAGCTGACGAGTTTCCCTCTGGTGGCCCAGGCTCCGCTCCTGGAGGCTCCGGGTACAACTATCCTCGGCCTACAGGTCCCGGATCCTCTACCCCCGGTAGCCAAGGAGGTTTTCCTGGTTCAGCTCCCGGTTATCCCTCGGGTCAAGGTAGCTACCCAGGCTCCACTCCAGGAGGATTTGGCGGAACTACACCTGGAGGCTTTCAAGGATCAACCCCTTCACCTGGAGCTTATCCTGGATCCCAACAAGGAGGCTACCCAGGATCTACTCCTGGATTCTCTAGTGGACCCTCTGGCTATCCTTCAACCTCCAGTCCAGGTGGCACAACTCCAGGATATCAAGGATATCCTTCAGGACCATCCCAAGGTGGCTTTCCCAGTAGCACTGCTAGACCAGGTGGCTATCCTGGTCAACAAGCAGGGTTTGCCGGATCGACCGCTGCATATCCTACTGGTGCTGGCCAAGGAGGTTCTCAAGTAGGCACATCTCGTCCCGGCTATCCTGGAGCTGCCGGATCAGGCTACCCATCAGGACCTCAAAGTGGATTCCCTGGCTCAACATCATCAGCTGGATATCCAAGTGGACCTCAAGGAGGATACCCAGGATCTTCTACTGGAGGCTTCCAATCCACAACCGCAGGCCCAACAGGTTATCCGGGATCTGGACAAGGATATCCTTCAGGACCAGCAGGTAGCCAATTCCCAGGATCTACTTCTCGTCCAGGTGGACAACAAAGCTTTCAAGGGACTACGCCATCTTCCCAAGGATACCCAGGTTCACAAGGAGGATTCCCAAGCACGACAGCTAGACCAGCAGGATACCCTGGTGCAACAGGTGGTCCTGGAGGGGCATTTGCCGATGAATACCCTACTAGTGGAGGTGGACAACCTGGGTTTGGTGGTCAACAGGGAGCTGGATTTCCAGGAAGCGGTTCTCAAGGAGGCTATGGTGGAGTTGGAGCAGGAGGATTTACTGGTGGAGTTGGAGCAGGAGGATTTACTGGTGGACAAGGTGGGCAGTTCCCAACAGGAAGCACTGGTGGATCAGGAGGACAATATTCTGGTGGACAAGGTGGGCAGTTCCCAACAGGAAGCACTGGTGGGCCAGGAGGACAATTTACTGGTGGGCAAAGTGGACAGTTCCCGACAGGTGCTGGTGCTGGGGGATCAGGATCTCCTACTGGTGGATCTGGGGGAGGACAAGCAGGTCAATTTCCAACTGGAGGACCTGGTAGTTCTGGTGGTTTCCCAGGCCAAGCTGGGCGTCCTGGAGGCAGTGGCACTGGCGGTGCTGCTGGTGTAGGTGGTGATGAGGACGATGGATCATATGACGAAGGAGATTACTCAGCTATTCCTGGTGAGCCAGGTACCGATTATCCCATTTACTCAGAAATCCCGGAAACATCTTTTCGCTGTGATCAACAACAGTTCCCAGGATACTACGCAGATGTCGAGACAAGATGTCAAGTATTTCACATTTGTGCCAATAACAAAACCTATGACTTTTTATGTCCAAACGGAACGATATTTCACCAAGAGTACTTCGTTTGTGTGTGGTGGAATCAATTTGACTGTGACTCCGCTCCAGGACTTTTCTCCCTCAACCAGAAATTATACGATTATTCAATTGTAGGATCTCAGCAACAAGGGGTTGGTGGACCTGCAGGACAGAGTGGTCAACAAGGACCTTTTGGAGGATTCCCAGGACAGGTAGGACCACAGGGCCCATCGGCTCAGTATCCGGGACAAAACGGACCTCAAGGACCTTCTGCTCAGTACCCAGGCCAAACTGGTCCTCAGGGACCTTCTGCGCAATACCCAGGTCAGACAGGACCTCAAGGACCTTCAGCCAACTACCCAGGTTCTACTGGTCCTCAAGGACCATCTGCTCAATACCCAGGCCAAACTGGACCACAAGGTCCCTCAGCCAATTTCCCCGGACAAGTAGGACCTCAAGGGCCAACAGCAGGATATCCAGGAGCTACTGGTCCTCAGGGACCTTCTGCTCAGTATCCAGGTCAGACAGGACCTCAAGGGCCTTCAACTAACTACCCAGGATCAACCGGTCCTCAGGGACCATCTGCTCAATACCCAGGCCAAACTGGACCACAGGGTCCCTCAGCCAATTTCCCCGGACAAGTAGGACCTCAAGGGCCAACAGCAGGATATCCAGGAGCTACTGGTCCTCAGGGACCTTCTACTCAATATCCAGGTCAGACCGGACCTCAAGGGCCTTCATCCAACTATCCAGGATCTGCCGGACCACAAGGGCCTTCAGCCAACTACCCAGGATCTACCGGACCCCAAGGACCTTCGGCAGGGTATCCGGGTAGTGGTCCTCAGGGACCTTCAGCGGGCTACCCAAGTTCCGGGCAAGGTCCTTCTAGTGGATATCCAGGCACAGCTGGACCATCAGGACAGTATCCTGGATCTCAGGGACCTACTGGTCCTTCATCTCAGTATCCAGGGTCGTCAACTGCTTTCCCGGGATCCACAACCTCTCCCGGTTTCCCTGGACAGCGACCTCAGGGAACTTCACCTTTTCCCGGTCAGGGAACTTCGAGACCTCCCTTCGGCACAGCGGCTGATGAGTACCCTGGTGGTCAGAGCCCCTCATCTAAGCCCAACCGAGAGTATCTTCCACCCTACAGAAGATAATCCTTGAGACACTAGCCAAACGAATGTTACAATGACTCGCCAGTACTTCTATAATGTTGTTGTATTATATGTTGTATACAAAGTAGCCTAGAAAAGTAGCTTACCTCTTGAATGCTCTCTTCAACTCTTTAAAGTTTCTGAAATTTTTCGTAGTACATGCCTTTGTAGGAGTTCAATGTTGTTTGTATTTAAGAAATCCTACTAGGTAACGATATTTGTGTGCCTTAAGTTATTGTGTTTAGCTTTAAGTGCTTATTGTTAAGATGTTTTTATATATTTTTGTAACATAAAGTGTTCTCATAGTGATATGTTTTGAGAAATAAACTACCATTTTGTAATAATTTAGAGTTTTAATTGATTAAATCACAGTTTCCATTTCATTCAGAAGTTTGTTTATAAGGAATAAGGATACATAAACCCTGCCTGTTCTATTATTCGCAGTCTTGTATCGCCGTCCAGAGACATTACAAAAATAGATAAACAACTGCTTTAAAAGACACAAATAAATTGCAATTATGACTGCACTTCTTGGCAGTATGCATCATATAAAACTGTTATGCTTACAAATTAAATAATTCCTAAAAAGCACAAGAATTCAATCATCTAATTGATTGACTACTAATTAAATTAAATAATTATTTTAAATGCGATAATGCCATCGATTTCAATCCAAATGCCGATTATTATGGCCAATAATTCATTAGGCAAACTTTTCAATCAGTTTATGTATTTTTATTAATTTTATAAAAAAAAAAATAACTTAATAAGATGTTACATAAACATCTAAGGGGGGGGGGGATAGCCCTTTTATACTTTACTTTATAATTTTCTATAAAATGGCGACCATACAGTTTCGAGGTGACATTATTGGCGTTGTAAACATTATAATTGAACTATGGATACAATATTCAACCATTTACAGCTGACATACCTTCCTTAAAATAATTCCTAAACGTGTAACGATTTACTGTCGCAAAACATAAAAAAATGGGAAAACTAAGCACAGTTTTGCCCCCATCTAATTTTTGTTGTATGATTATCGGAATACGATCAAAGTTTACAAACAAGAAGAACGTAAAGTACGGCGTTTAATGTAAGAACCGATTCGTCTATGTAATCACTCCAAAGATGACAATTTTAAGGAAATTCTACTCTTGACCGATTTTCTAAAAATTGTTTCTTGTCGAATTCGTAAGATGTAGGGCAGCTAACATTTTAATTCACTATTTCTAACTTCTTATTTAATTACAATGCTCCGTACTCGCAGTTCCAATTTAGCCATTATTTATAATGGTTTAAATACCTGCATTCAGTAATCCAATACTCCAATTGGATTACTGAATGCAGGTATTTAAACCATTATAAATATTCAAACGTAATCCGGAGGCTAACAACTCTTAAAAATGAAATTAGCCATTATGTTGTTTAACTATAAGAATTCTCTCATCTCACTAGATTTGTATAACCCATTTAAATATCAAATTATTGCAAAACTAGCTCGCGTTAGCTGACCCAGGGTACCACATGTATGTAGCCATTATGTGAACCCAATGTGCTTAATAACTAGCATAACGACACATATTAGCGTAACATAAAGAGTAATTAAAACCAAAGGTCATTCTGTTTTCGTGACCAATGCTAGAAACCGAGGACTGTAGTTGTGCAATATTCGTCACTTCGGTCTGTTATTAGTAGCATCAACGTATACTTATGGAGATCCACGCAGGTTGGGAAACATTGCCGAATATGTGACTTATCACTGATCACATACGTGTTAGGTGTTATCCTGGCACAGATTGGTAAAGTCAGTCACTGAACGTTACAGTGTTACTACTATGTGAGGAATTTAATGGTTAATAAAGTTTTGGTTAAAGTTTACTGGGTAGCCGAGAGGTTATAGTGATCGATAATCTCAAGTTTGAAGACCGAATGTTCGATTCCAAACTAGATCGATTCTGGGCCCTGAACGCGATTGGGTTTGGAATATTGGTTAGTTAACGATGTTACCTATAAAAAAGTCAATGTCACATACAGTAAAACCTTGATAACAAGTCTCTCATGAGGATTATCAAAAAAATACGTGTCATCGAGGTTGACTTGTTATAGGTTTGCATTAACATGTGATTGATGTGACACAAAATCTTGGGTACCTATTTGAAAATGACACTTGTCGAATGATAGTCTTGTTATGGAGGTTCCACTGCACACTACAATATAGGGAATGCCACCTAGGTGAATATTTTGATCAAAATATGAGTGAAAAAAGGGTGAGTGTAGAATGTAGTAATGCCTTATGTAGCTTTCTTGATGATAAGACCAGCTGTTTCATTAGCTTTGGATCATGTTTTTTAAATCCAAATGATTAGAAAAAAATAGTTGGGTCCAGTTTGGAACGCAACAAAACACTTTGGAGAGTTGTGTGGAGCATTCTCTTACAAAAACGTAAAAACAATAATGACGTGCAGCACAAGTTACTGTATCACAAAAACAAAATTAAAATAATTTACCGTTGTGCTGTTGACTTTGGTAGTTGTAATAGTTCACTAAAAATTTTCATTGTATGCATGTTGTCTTTTCATAAGGAAATGACACATGCCAAATTTGCTAATTGGCTGGAAACACTACCAAGAGTTCTTATCTTTCCATTTCCATAATTGATTTGGATTCTTGTCCCAGCCTTTCAGTAGTTTCGGGGGGACGTTTCGTATGATTAATTAACATGGTGACAAAAAAACATTGTTTACATTTTATTGTTATTTTACTTAAATAATTGTTTCAAATGCCACACAGCTGACTGAAATAATTCAAATTGGGTACTTTGTAAAACAAACTGATGCGTTTGATCTATAATTGGGTAATTTATTATAACATATCAAATATATTGATTGAAAACATTATGTGTTTCATAGTTTATAGTGTTACTACTAGGACTTTCAATTCCCAGAGTTGAATTGTACGAAATGGCTGGTCAAATATAAAACATTGCCTAAACTCACAAAAAATAAGGGTTTTCTGTGGTTACTTGTTACTGGTGTGGTAAACGCATAAACAACAATAATTAGTTGATTTCCTTATGAATGACCCCTTTATAATGAATTGAAATGCCAGTTATATCATAGACTAGCAGCTATACCCGTGCCTTGCAACGGGGTCAGCATGCAAAAGAGACAATGTTGGTTCATTGAAAATGCCTTAAAAATAATTACTTCACTTGATAATAGTAAGTTTTGATAACTCAGACTGCGAACACTTGTTTAGGCTACCTAGGATACAAAACAATGTTAGATTTTAAGGATGATCAAATAACATGTTGAATGATCTGTACTGTAAACGAAAGGCTATCACAATTAGTTCCAAACCTGTCAATAGTGTAATTTTCTAACATATCTTAGTGAAATTATAGTCAGGCAAATGGAAATTCACTTAGGTTTGCTGCGGCAAGGGTATTATACTACTGTTTACAAGAAAATATATCTAAAAAATAATTCTCATAAAACTCTTGAGTTCCATTTAAATATTGTTAATAATGTTTACATTTCGTCGAGTGACATCATTTATTAAATGTTTATGATCCATACTGTTATGCTTGGACCAGCTGTGTGGAATTGTGAAATAAGAATTCATTTGACAGTTAGTTCTGCTTGTTTACGTTTTTAAACTTTGTGGGGGGTTTTTTGGTTACCATGGTTACCATCAATAAATATTTACTTTTAAATCTCTCGCTTCAGATTTTTGAAAGCCCACGGGGCAGAGTCCTATGTCGATACTGAAGCGGGAATAGTTTTATATGTATCCTCGGAACTGTAGCTTCATTTGAGTGCAATTTGAGCCCAGTCGGTTCAATAGTTTGTGAGTTTAGCTCATACAAACACACAGACAGACAGACATCACCTCTTCTTTATAAAAGTAATAGTAGATAGATAGATAGATATATTAAAGAGAGAAGACCTTTATCTATTTTATCCACTGTCTGCTCTCTTTAATTTGTGGTTATGTATATATAAGTGTTCTATGTAACAACCAAATTTCCAAGCAAGTGTTGAACAATAGTTATAAATTACGCCTGTCGACGGATTGATATATTCCATAATCTCGTGACAGGAGAGAAATATAACTTCTATTTAGGTATGAATAGTGTTCATCAATGAAGATGTCGTAATGTCGTCACTTTTAAAAGTTAAAACAGTTGTGAAATGCTCACCGAAAGGCTAACTGATTTCAAACAATCTTTTTGTCAGATAAATCATACGCTACAAACCAACACTGAAAATTTAAGCTCTTTTACTTTTCTACTCACTCACTATGCAATATACAGTTAGTCCATATAGATGGGATTTTGTTGATAGTTTCTAGCGATTTTTTTTATTTGGAAGTATATATTTACAGCAGTAGCAGTCTAAAAATACCGTTCCTTCAAAATTAATGATTAAATGGACACGCGTTTTTGACCGTAGGCACACGATACAATATGTAAAAACTGTCAGATTTTATAGAAATTTTGTAAAATCAACATCAATGATAATGATATCGCGAACCAGTGAGGGTTAACGACAGGAAAGGGGTATTGTGGAGGTGGGGGTTTGTTTCCCTCCCCCAAAAATCGTTTTGCCTGTATTGTAAACAATAAAAAAATATATTTTTCAACAATCGTTTACATTATTTATTAGATTTTAACCACCTTAATTTGTCATTCTGCAGATTTTGGTAGCTGATATGTACAAATCAATTGATTTAGGCCTACATCGCAATTCAATGTTATACTTTTGGAGAAAGACATTTATTTTTTCTAATCATCATAATTTAATTTAGACAAAATATATTAAAGTTTCTCATTACGGTGAATGTTAGCACGTATCATTGAGCCCATGTCATTTATACCTGACGTGGAAGAGTAAAATTCCTTTCATTGCGTTTGAAAAATGGTTTTGAATAGTTTAAATAAAAACTACATAAACCCAAGATAATTGAAGCCAGAGTGGCCTGGTGGTACATTCTTGTTCTAAACATAACATTGATTTACAAGGATAGCCTATTAAGCCTTTGAGTGTTCCTCGGATAGTTTTTGTATACAAAGCCATATCTCGCCTTCTATGTATTTATGTAACAGTAATTTCATCACGCATTGCATTGCAATTCAAATGCTTAACATTTGGTGAGGGCGGCGAATGCAAAGTGTCCATGATATTCTGAGATGGTCCGCAGCGAATTTGGCAAGAAATTGACCGTTCGCCTGGAGCACACTTCCCGACGAGTGACGTCACAGCGTAGTGAACCTGTCAGAGCAAAATGTGGAGATGGCTACGCTAATGCCTTTTCCGAAGGTTGCAAAATCAATCTTTGG